CATGCTGGATACTATCCTAACCTTTCTTCTGGATTAATAATCCGAGTTAGGTCAAGTATCGGGTTGCACCTTTTTTTTCTCTTTTACTCAAATAACTAAATTCTTCGCTGTATATTGACTCTAACCTTTTTTTTTTAATTTTACATAAATATCTTAGTTCGCGCTGATACTATCCCAACCTTTTTTCTAGATTAATAATTCGAGCCAGGTCAGATATCACGTTGCATTTTTTTTTTCCTCTTTTACTCAAATAACCTCTTAATTCTTGTTGGATATTGACTCTTACCTTTTTTTTTTTAAATATCTTAGTTCGTGCTGGATACTATCCTAACCATTTTTCTGGATTAATAATTTGAGTCAGTTCAAGTATCGCGTTGCATCTTTTTTTTCTCTTTTACTCAAATAACTTAATTCTTCGCTGGATATTGACTCTAACCTTTTTTTTTTTATTTTACATAATATCTTAAATCTCACTGGATAAATTCTAACTTTTTTCGGATTAATAATTCGAGTCATGTCAAGTATCGCACTGCATTTTTTTTTCTCTTTTACTCAAATAACTTAATTCTTCGCTGGATATTGACTCTAATCTTTTTTTTTTTATTTTATATAAATATCTTAAATCTCACTGGATAATTCTAACTTTTTTTGGATTAATAATTCGAGTCAGATCAAGTATCGTGTTGCATTTTTTTTTTTTCTCTTTTACTCAAATAACTTAATTCTTCGCTGGATATTGACTCTAACCTTTTTTTTAAAATATCTTAGTTCTCACTGGATAATTTTAACTTTTTTTAGATTAATAATTTGAGTCAGGTCAAGTATCGCGTTGCATCTTTTTTTTCTCTTTTACTCAAACAACTTAATTCTTCGCTGGATATTGACTCTTATCTTTTTTTTTTAAATATCTTAGTTCGTGCTGATACTATCCTAACCTTTCTTCTGGATTAGTAATTCGAGTCAGGTCAAGTATCGTGTTGCATCTTTTTTTTCTCTTTTGCTGGATATTGACTCTAACCTTTTTTATTTTAATTTTACATAAATATTTTAGTTCTTGCTGGATAAATTTTAACTTTTTTCAGATTAATAATTCGAGTAAGGTCAAGTATCGTTGCATCTTTTTTTTCTCTTTTACTCAAATAACTTAATTCTTCGCTGGATATTGACTCTTACCTTTTTTTTAAAATATCTTAGTTCTTACTGGATACTATCTTAAACTTTCTTCTGGATTAATAATTCGAGTCAGGTCAAGTATCGCATTGCATTTTTTTTTCTCTTTTACTTAAATAACTTAATTCTTCGCTAGATATTGACTCTAACCTTTTTTTTTTTAATTTTACATAAATATTTTGGTTCGTGCTGGATACTATCCTAACCTTTTTACTGGATTAATAATTCGAGTCAGGTCAAGTATCTCGCTGCATTTTTTTTCCTCTTTTACTCAAATAACTTAATTCTTCGCTAGATATTGACTCTAACCTTTTTTTTTTAATTTTACATAAATATTTTGGTTCATGCTGGATACTATCCTAACCTTTCTTCTGGATTAATAATCCGAGTTAGGTCAAGTATCGGGTTGCACCTTTTTTTTCTCTTTTACTCAAATAACTAAATTCTTCGCTGTATATTGACTCTAACCTTTTTTTTTTAATTTTACATAAATATCTTAGTTCGCGCTGATACTATCCCAACCTTTTTTCTAGATTAATAATTCGAGCCAGGTCAGATATCACGTTGCATTTTTTTTTTCCTCTTTTACTCAAATAACCTCTTAATTCTTGTTGGATATTGACTCTTACCTTTTTTTTTTTAAATATCTTAGTTCGTGCTGGATACTATCCTAACCATTTTTCTGGATTAATAATTTGAGTCAGTTCAAGTATCGCGTTGCATCTTTTTTTTCTCTTTTACTCAAATAACTTAATTCTTCGCTGGATATTGACTCTAACCTTAGTGCCTCAAGATTTAAAAATTTTTTTATTGAACTTATTTAAATATAGCTTAAATAAACTAATTTGATTTTTATAAACTTTAAGTATAGTTGAGTTTGGAAGTAATGTAATAAGACCTGCTCTGTGTTTTACTATATTTGTTTACTTGTTAATTTGAATATAGAATTTTGAACTCTGTAGCATATATTGGTTAGAATAATAGTATTGATGATATATATTATTGCTTGATTGTTAGTAATTTTGTATTTTTAAATTTAGCCAATATATTTGTAGTTTCCACTATAATGATATTGTGTATTGGGATTTGTTTTTTTGATATAAAGTACCAGCAGCCTAGAAATATGAATGCTTGTTTAACTTATACTGTTTATAGTAGTTTTTTTAAATGTGATACTAGGTATATCCATTAGAACTTGATATTTATAATCTTAGTCCTGAAGAAATAAAAAAATTAACAAAGGCTCTTTATGAGAATGCAACTTATTATTGCTAAATACTAATAAACTTGATGATGAAGGAATGAAAATATTCTTACAAAACTTCCACTTTGACTCTTTAAATTTTTAGTTATAATAAATTTGGTCTAAAGATGTAAAAGCACTTGCAGAGGTTCTTTGTAAAAATGTATCTATAACTTACTTAAATCTTAAGGGCAGTAAATTTGGTATTGAAGGATGCATAGCAATGGCACTAACCTTCTTGGATCTTTATAATTGTAATCTTGGCTTTGAGGAAATAAATTTTACAGTAGAGGTCCTTTATAAAAATACTAGTTTAATTTCTTTAAATATTGGATCTAATAAAATTGACTTTGAAATGTAAAAGCGATAGCTGACGCTCATTGTAAAAGTATCCCGTTAACCACTTTACGTCGTTGTGGAAGTCAACTTGGTATTAGAGAAAATAAGTTATTAAAGGAGGCATTTTGTAAAAACACTAATCTAACCTCCTTGGTACTCTACGATAACTAGCTTGGTTCTGAGGGAGAAAAAGTGTTAGAAGAAACCCTTGACAGAAACGTTACTTTAGCTTATTTAGGTCTTAATTGGTCTAAAAGTATTAACAGAAAACCTTTATAAAATACTACTTGAATTCCTTAGATTTATCATCAATCAATTTAATTTTGTAAAAATAGCAACAGAATTCCTTAGATTTATCATCAATCAATTTAATTTTGTAAAAATAGCAACATACTTTAAAGAACATGTTTTACATGTAGCAGGTACTCCCATAAAACTTAGATTCTGATAACCAATTTAGTTGTGAAAAATGTCAAATATATTAATTTTTGTTAAATTTGATTATTTATGTTATACAAACTGTCAAAATCTATCAGCATTAATAAATATACATAATTAGAATAATATTTTGGTAATGCAAATAATAAGTACGTAAAGTTAATTCTTATTTCGCGGTATATTTTTAATAGCATAAATTCTAACATTCTATTAGACATTATAATAAAATAAATTTACGATATTTAACATGTAAAGGAAGATTCATAGGTGATTACTAAAGTTTTTAAGATTTACTTTTGTTTATCTCTATTAATTAATTTTAAAGCAAGAAATGAGAGTATAGCCCACCCAAGTGCAATACGGAAAATATAATTCAAACATGTAGAATAATCATCAAAACTATAAGTAAACCTTAATTTCTCATACTTAATTTCATGCCACCTATATAAAAAAAATTAATATTAGAATCAAATATTAGAATTAATATGACGTATATTATATAAAAGAAAGTTTAGATGTGATACATACATTCTAGGAGCCAATTCTTTAAGGTATAATGCTTCAACAGTCCACCTGGGTGTCGAAATCTGTATAATAATATATATTATTACACTATGGAATAACTTTTTTAGTCATGATAATAATTTAAAATTAAGAAAAATACATACATCCCACAACCATCTCAAAGGTCTATAACTATCATCATTTTCAACATCTTGCAATTGAGGTGATCCACCACTGAAAACTAAACCCCAAGCAAGTGCAAATCCTGTGCTAACCAATCCAAATTTTTCTTTTGGAACAACAATAGATATAAAATAGCCTATAATTAAAATAATTAAAATAATTAAGGTGTTTAAAAAATATATATAGATAATATAATTTACTTAGATAATCTCTCAGCTTGTTAATTTAAAACTAATATATTCCGAATATATACATACCCATCATCCATGCAGAAATATATGTAAAAAGAACAATACCATATATCTCATGAAATTGTGCTTGAAATGGATAAAATATAATAAGTGATAATGAAAACATAAGAGCTGCGATAATTATGCGAGGAATGTCTGCAACAATTTTTGCTATAAAGTATGGGATTGTACTCATTCCAGCCGAAGCATCTCGCCAATAAACTACTATCTCGTACCCGAACGTAGAACACCCAGCTATGAATGATTAATTATGTAATCAGAATATCGATATGAATTTCGCATGTTATTTAGATTAATTAGAATCAAATAGTATACCGCTGATTCCAGCAAAGGTAACACCGAGTGCCACAAATATTCCAACATTCTAAACAAAATATCAGAATTATAAATAAATTTACAACGATAATTTATAGTTGATTACTTAATAAATTTATACCTGGATAAAATCAGAAGAGTTCATGCAAGAGTTCATCATAACATATGGAGTATATTTACAAATTTCTATAGGAGGCTTTCCTATATATCCAGAGTTGGAAATCGCCAATGAAACAAAAACTCCACAGCCAAGATGTAATAATTGATCAAACAAAAATTGAGATGGTCTTCTATAAACTTGTACGAAAGCTCGTCCAATTAATAAGTAAAATGCATAGAATATATTTGGAGTATTTCGAATTTTATCATCTTTGCATATTAGTGATATAAATATGCTTTTAAGAGTTGAATAAATCTCTAAAATCACGTCAACGATATATGAAATACAATCTTCCAACATATTTATAAACCGATTTTGTACTGTAAGTTTATTTTTAGTGTTTGATTTACGCGCAGAATCGCCTTTAGATGTGTTCTCCATTATATAATCTTGCGGGCTATAAATAAATCATTAATAAATTGTGGAATTTTTTAGCAACATTGTGAATGAAATTATACCCTTCTTCAGCCCCTCTTGGATTGCGACTAATAAAGTCTTCTATTACAAATTTTGTATGTCCAGAAAACTCGGACTTTCCTTCCTCATTTAATACCAAAACGTCATCAAACGTTTTAAAGACTTTCTGAGATGGTGAATGGACAATCGCCACTATCGTTATATTTTGTATTTCAGCAATATATTTCAGCATTTTGCATACTTCATACGACATAACTGAATCAAGCCCTGAAGTTGGTTCATCCTAACATCAAAAGGTTAATAAAATAAAAAAGCTATGTACATTATAAACCAAAATTATGAATAATTACCAAGAAAAGTATAGATGGTTCAGCAACTAATTCCATTCCGATGTTTACACGTTTGCGTTCTCCGCCAGAGATACCACGTTTTTCTGTTCACATTATAATATAAAGATTTTTAATAGAATTTCTTAAATGTCAGTTATATTGAAGACGTTTACCCTCATCTCCGATTTCATCATTGAGTACGTGATCTAGCTTTAAAAATTTAATTACTTCCATTGCTTTCCTTTTTTTATCCTCCACTGGCATGTCAGTTGGCAAACGCATTAACGCCGAATGCTATTATTAAACAAATTTACATTTACATACAGAAAACATAAAAGTATTACTCTTTTCCAAATTATCAAGAGCTTACCACCAAGATTTCTCGAACAGTTAATTTACGAATCATTATATCTATCAAAGTATATCATACCGGTGTTTAATATTTATATTGTGATGAAGTCTATCATCATCATGGATGCAAATAATGAACCTTCTTGTGGTACAAAGCCAACAAGTTTTCTATATTTTTCCAAAGAAACTTTTTCATCATTAACTATGTTCAAGATTTATTATTTCGTAAGCGCACACATTATAAAATCATAATATATGATTAATCTTAAAAAAAACTTTAATTAACCTTTTAGTTCTCCTTTTGTTGCCTTAATTTTTCCGGCTAAAATTGATATCAAAGTGCTTTTACCAGAACCTATTTAATGCAATACATAATACGATTATTAACGTTAATATTAATAATTTAATAATGAATAAAATGTTTATCACCAACCGGATGGGCCCATAATCGCGCAAGTTCTTCCAGGTAAAAATAATCCTGAAACCCCCTTGAATATATATAAGAAAATAGATCATAACGAACGAGTCACAATTCTCACTATAGAAAAAAAGGCAACACTCACATTCAGAGGAGTTTTACCGTTACGTAATTGTAATATTAGATTATTAAATTCCACAGTGATATTAATAGACTTTGAACCCCTAGTACGCAAAAGATTCTTTTTATCTTGATTTGCAAGATCATTCAAAATATTATCATATTCGACATTTTTCTTATTAACAAATCTTTTTTTGCAATGAAACAACCCGATAATCACAATTATAAAACCAAACACTATTATGGTAACAAAATATTTGTTTGGCTTTATTGAGCCAGGAGGACAGATTGCAAGTGTACAGGGTACCGGATTAATTGTACCAATAGTACAAAAATGACCTAAAAATCGAAATGAGCGATTTAATTAAAAATAGAGGGTTATCATTTTTGTTTTTTTCCTTGTGAAAGTATACCTTCGGGGCATAATTGTATGCTTTTTGTATCTTCAGAACAATAGAATCCTTCGCAACAATATGTTGGTTGTGCTGTAATTGAAAAAATGAATATCACTTAGTACTATATATTTAGGTTATGGAAAGAATTAAAAATCTAAACAAACTCATGGGCAGGGTTGCCAACTTTACAATTAGATGCTTTTTACTTCAACACACTGTAATATTAACAAGGAAATTTGCCTGCGAGTACAAACAATATAATATAGCAAAATCTATATATGGACTTGGTGCTGAGAAAAGGGACCAAATTAACAAAAAATAATTTGCTAAAAATTGATTTTTATAACTTACATAATAAATTATAATAAATACAAATTTTAAATGATTATACGGCAAATTTTATTGAGATAACAGTATTTGTTTCTTAGGTAAAAAAAAAATGTTTCTGAGCTAATTTTGGATTAGTTTAAAAAAAAGATTTTGAGAAAATTGCCAATTTGGTCCCTTAGCACCTAGTCATATCTATACAAATTTTTTTTTCGAAAAATTATTACGCATAAAGCTCGGTATAAATTACTCTATTAGGATTTTTTTTTTCTACAAGAACGGCTAGTTCGCTATAAAAGAGGCAACTACATTTCTGCAGACTTTCAAGTTTCGATGAATCCTTTCCAATTATGTTGACATAATAGCTCTTCGAACAATCACATAATAGCTTATAATAAATAACTTACCGGAATTTTCAGGACAAAAAAACCCAGGAGTACAGTCAAAAGTTTTATTGAAATTGGGGCAAAAACGACTATGCAATATGAAGTTCAAAATTAATCAAGTATAACGATAATACTAATAATCACAAATCAACAGTTTACTACAAATAATTAGTATAATTAAATACCCAGCAGGGCAATTCCAAGTAATTAGTTGTCCATTAACCGTAACATTATCCTCTTTTTGGGGCGTTGAAATGTAAATGCACTTTTGGCCATTTACATTTTCCTACCAAATCGATCAAAGAAATTATAAGCATTTGCATAAATACTTTCACATTCAATTGCATTAACACAGCTAGTGCATTTCAGGAAAAGATTCTATTGACACACTACTCCTGCATTATATGCTTTATTCCTTATCACTGTTGAATAAAGTAGAGGGTCTAATAATATTAATGTATTTGTTGTTGAATTCACTTGTGACATTAAAGGAGTTGGCAAAATTGTAAAGTATAGTGAAAAAGAATTATTAGCCGTAGCAAAGCGAATTGAATTGAAACTTTCATAAGTATTCTCAATTAAGTTGTTGAAGACAAGAGGTCGAACATTATCATTGTTCGAATCGTTGTTTGATGATAAATTTATAAAGTTTGCTTGCATTGTTATTTCCTAATTTAAACATACGGAAGGTATCTCCGATCAACTCACAAACCGTCATTTTACCGACATCACATAGGGTTAAACATTTGATTAGTTGCAGGTATATTATATTTTTACTAAATTTCACCTGGCGTGATGGCAGTGAAATGATTTTCGGTGAAATAATAATAATACGGACCACTCCGTAGATGCATTTAACTTTAATTTTTAAATAGAATACTTAGGTAAATTTGTCTCTGATGTTCAATTATTAGAGTTTATTTTTATTTATTAATTTATTTATAAATCGTGTAACATGATCAGAAAATGAGAAAACGTTAGCTCGTAAACAAATTAGATATTACAACCATAAAATATAAATATTTGGAAAATATTACTTTTAAAAATTTGGCGTCAGTATTCTTTTATGAACTTTACAAGGTTAGTGAAAAAGTTTGCATACTAGTTTGGGTCAGTGTATTAGATACAATGACCAACCCAGATTAGGGTACATTGACTTTATTGATTAAATGAGACAAGTTATCGCAAAAATTTATTTTTAAGGTCAAAATTTTTAAAATTATTTTTGATCACTATTAAAATGTTACGAGGAAGGAATTTTATCTAGAATTTAGAACCGGTTTTATTTTCATATTAAAACCGGGTTTAACACAAAAAAATAAAGCCTACTCCAAACTCTAGTTTATCTTGAAAAATTTAACTGTACACGACTTGTAGGTGGAGGAAATTAAATATAATAGTTAATATTGTAGTATAATACCTTTCTATCCTTTTCAACTCCAATTCCTTTATCAACACTATTCATTCCACTAGCGTCCCCATCTCTACAGATTTTTGATAATAAATGAATTCCTTATGTTCATCCTTTTCAACCCATTTACCATAGCAATAACTAAATGTACAAATGGTTTAAACAATAAGATCGGATTGATTATCTAAGCAATATAATATTATCCGGATTTTGCATTTTTTTTTTATTAGAAATTGTTCTTATAGTCAGAAATTAAATCGGAAGTTTTGCCTTTCAATCTTTCTTCATTACATAGATTATATATTTCTTTAAGGAATTTATTCAAGAAAATCTTGGAAAAAATCTTGTGAATTTTTATTTTTCCAAATATATTGGGTAACACTGTTGGTTATTTGAGTAATATCTGATGAATTGTTGATGTTTTTCTGTTGCTTATCAGATAGGTTATTGTAAATCGATATTTTGACACAAAAATTAATGTGCCATAGAATTACTGTGTATAAAAAATCTAAAATTACAGTTGCTCCTTATAAAGACTAAGTACCATATATTTACCACCTGCATCTTACTATATTTTCAGAGCTGTTCAATTTTCAAAATAACGTTCATATTAGCTAAATACGGTCTATTATTACTGAATTTATATTTCCTAAATTATTAGCATCAAAAGTGCATGCCTTATAATTTAGGAAGTATTCACTTCAATAGATTATAAGTATGCAAGTAATGTATGTACTGTACTTACGACCGTACCAGTGTTTTATTTCTGAAAAGTTTTTTTGTTCTTTAAAGCATAAATTAATAATTTATGTTAAAAATTTTTATATGTTCATGACCTTTTTTTTTTATAGAAATTTTATTATTCAAATATTTCTTATGAGAACATAAATTATAAAATTTATGTTCTTAGTTTGTTCTCAAAAGAGAACATGATTTTTAAATATGGTATTCTTGAGAACATTGAGGATATTAGATATCAAACACTGATACGTGCGTGCGTATTATGTACATGTCCTTTATACTTATATACTAAGTGATATGGGTAATTATTTTTGAATTCAGACCAAGATGTTATTACGTCATATATAAAATTGGTCCGGGTTCAAAAATAATTACCCATATGTACTGCTACGTAATGCAACATTAAGTTTTCATAATGATTCAATGGCCTAGAAAAGCCACGTTTATCAGATTAAGCAACTATTCAAACAACACTAGCATAGCTATCAAGATCAGTTACGTAATCGGTATTTAAAATTTGATTGCTGAATTTTTACAGTTAACAAAGAATGCGTAACATCGCGACGGATTAGTGGAATTTGACTTATTTCAATTTAAATAAAGAACCCTAAAATTAGTTCGATCTAATTAAATCTGGTGACTTAAATAAAGGTCAAATTCCGCAATCTGCCACGATGAACAATCAAGCGTAATAAGTCCATTAGAAAAACTTCTAAAAAAATTTTTATCAGAAAAAGAAATTATGCGAAATCCAAAGTTACTAATTTCCTACCCGATTAATATAACTGAGTGTTTATTGTTACGGCGACTTTTGTTTTCTAGCACACTTTTCTTTTTTTTTGAAACAAAAGGTGTATTCATCATAATCATTTATTTAAGCCATAAAATGTATTTTTTATTTCGTCCATTCATGTTTTTGGAAGGTTCTGCACGTTTTAATTTCTTTAAATCATTTATCATTTTTAATCAATATGAGATTTGAATTTTGTTAATCATTCTTATTGCAGAAGTCAATAACTTTTACGTGAAAGAAGTATGATTAATAATTTATAATTATATCATACCTCGTAAAATATATATATTTTTTATAATTTTCTAAAGTTTCTACTGTCCTA